AGAACACAAAGGTCCATGCCACATCCCACTATAAAGCTCACAGAGAGAGATGTGAAATCCTAAAAATTAAATTGTTAAATGTCCTTACAAGGATCCATCATAAGGTTCATTCCAAGTAAGAATCCCCCTAAGATGCAGTGGTGCGGATCCTAGATAATCATGTCTTGTAGCGACTTCCAGTGAAGCTCCCCAATGAGCGTCCCCGTTGAGGCGACCTCATCGGAATCCCTCCTCAGATAAGGATCCCTCGTAAGATCTCCTAGTATGCAGCCGGAATCAACAAGAGGCCGCAATAAGGCTCCGTAATCAGGATCCCACTACTATGAACTCTCAATGAGAGTCCTAGCAAGGACCTCAGTTAAGGATCTGACATGAAATCTGCGAAGGACTCGCGGATCCGAAGCAGAGATTTCTCATAACAAATCCAAACAAACATTCCTACAAACGCTCCCCATGAGCTCCACAAGGAAAGACTCGGAATGAGGATGGCTGACCGTCTTCTCATGGAAACCTTCAACATCGATCTTTCATAAGAATCACCCGACTTAAGCTTTTGACAAGGACTTCTCGCTATGCTTATGCAGTCCCACATAGCCGACATGTCATACGCTTCTTGAAGTCTGGTGCAGGGGCTCTGAACAGGGTTCCTTCATCGTTAGAGATCCTGCTCAGGGATGCTGGTTTGGGATTCTTTTAAAGTTATGAGAAAACATATGATATTTTTTATGTCAACCCACAGATTGCTGGAGAAGATAGATAGAACGTTTGTGATTTGCTTTGCCTTACCTCTTTTTCACCTCGATTCACGTCCAGTTTTCAGAAGTACCATTGTTTTACCTTGTTTTCCACCTTTTTTTCCACCCGCTTTGCACCTGCTTCGTAGGTCTCGTTGGAAATCCCACACGTTCGATGGCCCGGAGCTACCTTTGTTTCACCTGTTGTTTACCTTGGGTTTACCATGTTTCACCTTTTCATACGCGCTGTTCAAGGTTACTTTTTGTTACCTTTCGTTTATCTTTGTTCCACTACTTTGCTTTTGCGCTTCGTGTCCAATCTATCGTGTAGAGATGGAATTTGCAATCATCTGTGCAGGATGCCCCAAAATGCATCGCATGCACATGCATGTGTAAACTAGCACCTACACCTGTCTTGGATCTGAGCTACACAACAAACAAAGGGGGTTGCTCTGATGCAGATGAAGGCGGTGTGCGTTCGGGGGCGCCGCGGGCGGTGGGGGAGAATTTTTGCCTTAGCCTTGCATCGTTTTGGGCTATGGACTTTCGGGACCTCGACACAGCCGTCTCCAGCACTCACCGCAGACCCGTCCCATGCTGGCAGAACCATTTATTTCTCTCCACACCAAGACTCCAACTTTTTCAGGTACCCTTTTTGTTGATCTTTTTGTTGGCGTATCACCTTTTTCTACCTTTTATGGTTACCTTGGTGTTACCTTTTTCTGTCTTTCAATTTTCGCATTATAGAAAACAATACCAATACTAGGTCACAATTTTAAAGGGATCCTCAGTATGAATGCTTATTGAGGAGATGGATTGGGGATAAGTTTCGGAAGAAACTAGCGATCCGTGCTAGTGCGTTTACAACGTATCCTGATCAAGCTGTCTTATTGGGACCCATCGGGACTATATTGGAGCTATGCGCGGCTCATCCAGTCACCCAATTTGAAGGGGTTACATAGAAACCACCTCAAGGATGTATGTTGGCTTTTTAGACTTGTTGTCGACATGTAGTGCGCGAGCTTTTTTGTTTCCCACATACATATAGTATGTATACAATCAGGTTAAAGTTGAAGCCCGACTCATGCCTGGGAAATGCAATAAACTAGTTTCAGAGCATTCTTCTGGACTCCCTATTCGATCTGGGCGGTACCAAAGGGTAATTTTTCCTGTTGAAAAAGTCTGAGAAGGTTTAGGGTGAGGACAGAATTATTACCAGAACCATTCATTCCTTCTAAACCGTTTATGCGGTCAGGCCAGGCAATCAAATTCCAAAGGGGGTAGTCCAGCAGGCTCCCTGAACCCCAATTACATGATTTGTTCTTTCGGGGGGTCTCAATTACGTAAAGACTTTTCGACGTTTCGGTGGGTTAGTGGTGATGCCATTCTAAATTGTTTGCTATGGCCATCACCTCGATTTCTGACTGATTGGTTGGGTACTGACACTCCCCAGTACGTATCAGTCTGTAGTAGGGTAATACTGAAGGCTATAAATAACTATGATATATATATATATACATATATATGATAGAAATATTTTCCCCCAGTTACTGACTGGGGGGCTGTATCCAACTGATTGGCACGGAGTTTTTGCTCGTGCTGTCTGATGCTAATAAGTGACTGTAATTAACTTGAAATTGGTTTTCACTAGACTTGAATTGATTTTCGCTGGATTTGCAACCGTTTTTGTCTGGCTTCAATTGGTGTGAGAGGCCAGGCCTTTACACATAAAGGCCGAGCTCTATTACCAAGCGTCAGCCCTTCCTATTCTGTATGAAGCTAAACTAAACTGAACGACTCACGTTCCTTCCCTTTCTCCCATTACCGAGGACTCAGTCCTTCCTATTCCCTCCAAAGCTAGAATATACTGAGCTATTCACGTTTCATCCCCCTCTTATGAACTTTTCAAATTTGGTAGAAGCCGAGGGATCTCCGTTCCCGTATTCCCAGAAGCCCCCATTCATGTAGGAATGTAGAGTAGAGGCGACCCCGTTTTGTTTGGTATCAGGATCCAACAGTAATCCTTGTATAAGCAAGCTGGCAGTCCCCGTTGGTTCCCCCCTCCAGAGTTCGGGTTCTAGGAGGATTTTTCAAGCTGTGTATACTGGTAGTGAATAGCTTTCAGAGCAAAGTGATGAGACTTTGCACAGGTTGCACAAGTCATTTTGGATGGGTCTTCGCGTGTACCTCTGCCTACTCTTAGGTTGTCATCAGCTTGAAACAAGGCCCGGAGACAGATTTTGGGGGGGTTCCGGTGGGGATGGGGGAGGATGACGCTGGAATACCGGAACAGCAAAGGCGAATCTTGGCTTGTTGATTTTATGTATGTCCATATCTGAAATTGTCGAAATTTCGAGATTTCAGGATTGTAGATTTCCAGCCTCCAGATTCTGGAAATCTGGAATTTATTTTCACTGCGCAGTCAATGCCTTTACAGTACGTGAAGCATAGGTTTTCTGGTGGTACTCGCCGCACATGCACAACCCTGCCGGCAAGTTCTTCCTCAAGACAATGCCCCTCCACCGCATGGCATGATGGGACAAATGAGTTTGAACAGCATCTCCTCAGGACGATGCCCTCAGCTGAATGGTATGATTGGGATGGGTTTTGACAGAGGGGGCGGGTTTTCACAGGCGCTCCCCAAGGCAATTCCCCTCCAGAAGGTGGGCTTTTCACATAAATGCCCTCGGCCAATGCCCCTCCACGCAGGCTTGAACACAGCCTCCCCAGGGCATAGCCTCTCCACTGCATGGCGAGTGAGTGGTGTCAACGCTGTCTCCCCACAGTAGCGCAGCTCCACTGCATTACATGATGAGGACAGCCAACATGCTTTGCAGGGCCGGGTCTGGCGCTTTTGTTGACCGACCCCCGGTGTTCTTGGATCGGCGCCTGCCGGGGCCTATGATTTGAGCGGCTTTTTAAGTGGGCCCATTTGTTTCATCTGGCCCCAGTTGTTCGATCTCTTTCGCTTGGGTCCCGCTGCTTTTTGATCGTACCCTCTGTGTTTGTTGATAGAGTCCTCTGGAATCAAGGATCAGGACGTGGAAAATGGCAGTGCGCAGAGAGCTCTTAGAGCGCAGAGCAGCCCCTCAACAAGCTTGAGTGTGAATAGCTTTTTCTGTACCTTCCAGATGCACTTTTTACGCCAGCTCACATTCATCATGTGGCGTGTGCAATGTCTTCATTCATGTCTGCACAAGAGACCCCGACGTTGTGTCATACTAAGACTTGACTAGCATTCCAAAAGCTGCACAAACTGGCTGATCAGATCACTGACCCAGGCAAGCCGAAGGAACACATGTTGAGACACCCAATCAAGACTGTAAATGTGGCGTTCGGCATTTGCAGACGTTGAAGATCATCCTGAGGCCTGCGCCACATCCCTCGTTGTCCTGAGGCAGCTCATGCCAGCTTATGAGGTGTTCCCCGAACCAGAGGGTGGTTCTATACTCTTGTAAGCAGAACACAGGACAACACCATCCCAGCGTGGCACTGTAGAATAAATAATTGCTTCGCATGTCTAAAAGCCTCCACCCCTCGCTTGATCTATCTCTATTTTTTTTTAGGTGGAGGGGGGTTGGGGGGGGTCAGAGGCAGGATTATAATGCCGAAATGTAAGTTTGAAAATCCATTTAGAATCAGTTAACGTCTAATTAGAATCATTGTCCCTAAACAAATAGTTTCCGGAATATTATACTTACGGGTATACTTATAATTGTGTACCGGCGCCGGGATTTTATGAATGCGGCCATGGTCACTATGAAGTCAACATGCAGTTCACATTCACAAGCAAATCTGGCCATGCAAGACAGTCAGGGCTCGTGAGTTCTCCCCCAGCTGCAGAGGTTGTCGTCACAGCGCCAGGATCTGGAGGGTGAGCAGTGGCCTCTAAGAAGGCTGCAAGCAAACATGGGCTCTGGTGAGCTGTCCTGCTTACTGTAGACTCAGGTGAAGTAGTTTAGCATGACTACAGAGCAAATGACCTCCGTTACTATTATTACTATTAACTGGCCTTGGTGTCAAAACGTGAAACGTGAGATGTTGCATAGGTCTGGATGTTAATGCTAACGGTGCCTGCTCCAGAGAGGCAACTCGACTTTGGAGGTGAAAAACGTGGAAATGGCCGAAGCATCAAGTCATTTACACAGAGCATGCAGCCAAGCTTGAAATTTCATGACCTTGCTTTTGGCAAGGGCTCGTCTTGTGCAGTTCTTGCCATCCACACCTGCTCTCGCGGGTCCAGATACTGTACCGCCAAAATTGTCCGCCCTCTCAGGAGCTAAGCTGCAGTGGAGCTCTGAAGTCTTCAGAACTGCCAACTGCACTTTTCACGCGGAGAGATCTCTCTGTTTGATTCTTGGAGAATGTTTCGCGTCATGGCCCAAACGTGCAAACAGTGCTGCCCGTGCTGCCCATGCCTTTGACAGCGCTTCGGCCAGGCTTGCGTCACCGATTTGATCTTCAGCCTTCAAACGGGGCAGTGCCAGGAGCACCGCTTGTAACCTCCCAGCTTTGTACCCGGGCGCGCATGGCGTGAAAACGTCAACGGTAAAGTCTCATACTTTTAAAAGCCATTCCCCCCCCACAGCCTTCAAGCCTGCCACCGCACAACACCTAGACAAACTCTGCGAGGTTCGAGGCCCCACTTCAAGCGAGAATCTTTTTGCTGAACGTCCGGGCTGGTTGTAAAATCGCGACGGTGTAGGAATAATCTACCAGGACAATCACAGCTGAGCAGGAAGCACGCACATCATCGTCACGGCATGCTTCTTTTTATCTGGCCTGCCTTGAACAGTACGTGATAAAATCTCTTTGGCCTAAAATAGACTACAAAGAAAAGCAAGCCATGCGTTCATTCATGTTCCTGCTGATGTAGGCCCGCCTATGAAGCGTCCACAGCGAATTGCGGAGCCGGATGCACTCGTAGCTAGCTTGGACGCACTCAGTCTGAATCAGGCTGCTACTCGCGCCGTCATCTCTCCCCTTCCGCTACATCCGAGTATCCTGGCATCCATTTCTGCTGGGAGGTTGTTCGAACGAGCTTTCCTGTTCCCTGGTCATTGACTCTTTTGCAACAACAGGAATTCTCAACCTATGGACAAGAGGATTTTGCACCCCTTGCATCAGGTAGATAGAAACACATTGGTACCAGTTTCAGCGAGCTTGAAAAAGCAGCTCCATCCTGTTGTCCCTCTTGCCCTTGCCAGCCCGGCCACATGCAATGTATCCCAGCTGAAGGTTTGCGTTTCGGGACCTGGCATCATTGGGCCTTCGATTCTCAAAGAGCTCGTCTCGGTCATCATGTACATGCAGGTCGGAGTTTGCATTCGCGCTTCGAGACAAATCCATATAGAGATGGAATTGGCAATCTGTGCAGGATGCCCCAAAATGCATCGCACGCACATGCACGTGTAAACTAGCACCAACACCTGTCTTGCATCTGAGCGACACAACAAACCAAGGGGGTTGCTCTGATGCAGATGA